CAAAAAAAGGGAGAATATAGTCATGGTCCTAAAAGGAAAAAAATTCTAATATGCAGTGTTCGGATTAAAATGAACAGAAAGAAGGGGGAAACAGAGAACTAATAAAAGACCAATCTACTAAATATCCTTTGATTCCAATGCTGAATTCATTCTCTTTAACATTGTTGCCAAATCGAGAGAATATGGAAAGATATTGCTTTATCTTCTCATTTTTACAGGGTAAAACGACTTTACAGATAAGACACTCAGTTCCTGTTGTTGAATTTATTTATGAATTAATCTTCCTTAAGATGTTTTTTCAAATTTGTTTATCAAGTTTATATGGCTATTTCACACAAAGTGACTCTTGGTGGAATACAATCAAACCAATAATAAAAATTAAAACATTGAGGTATAAATGCTAAGAAAGCAAGAGATCAGGGGATCCCCAGGACCATTGAAAGAATCACGTTTGAAGGAATTTCTAGAAGGCCTAATAGTTAGGAGACACTCTCAATTTCAGGATAGTCAATTTTTTGTGTGTGAAGGGGGCTGTACAACCTGTCCTGAAATAGTCAGTGTTGCAACCCTTCTCAAGTGGTTCTCCAAGGATCCAACCATGTTAGACAACTTTCATCCTCTGTCCAGTATTTTTGGAGCAATGTATTGAGAGCATAGTTGGTCGGTCAATCATCAGTAACTGAGTTTAAACCTTTTTGGGATAAACATATGTCCATCATCTGAAATTATTTTTGAAAAAAATGAAATAAAATATTAAATAAATAAGAAAACAAAAAGCTCAAAGGGCAGACTAGATGCAGCACCAGGTCTTTTTCTGCCATCAGTTTTTTGTTTCTATCTTTTTATCCCATACTCATAGGGTTGCTCTTGAAAACCACCTGGAATTTATAAAATGGTCCAGAATGCAAAGGCATGCACAGTGTTGAGTTTCCGTGTGTTCTTCCATAGAACATCCCTGCTATGCAGTCTCCACAGAATCCCAGTTTCTTTCCAGGTGTAATTAAATTCAGCTTTCAAACCCTCCATGAGACAGAAACAGGGTATCTGCAGGGTTTCCTCACCTTGAGGATAACTCCTTGTCCCACCAGAGCAGATAAAATTGGCATGCAAACAATCTATTCTCTAAAACATTCCCTCTTTATGGATCTTCTTTTAATTTTATATTTTTGTTGTTCTTTTATAGTGTGTATTGGGGATGTTTTTGTTGTTGTAGTTTAAGTATATTCCATTTATTGAGATTTTTTTTCTTTTTAAACAAATTGTATTGGTTTTTTAGTTTCTTAGAACAACATACCGTATTCAGGACACACCGTGGTGCTGGGATAATCAAACATCCCAAAACAAAACATATATACATAATACAATCAATACATCAAATATTCCCTCTCTTTTTCCCTCAAATAGCATAGTATATTTAAAATATCCAATTCTAGCTTAAGTTTATTCAACCTGAACCTATTTTTAAGCTTCATTTTACTACTGAGACTTTTCTGTCTCTCTATATCACATCTTATCCAAAGTTTTTTTTAACATTTGAAAGACTATAAAAGAAATATTACTTTCTTTTCTCAGATACCAAAAAATGCACCAAGTGCCCAGATGATCAATATCCAACTGAGAACCGAGTCCAGTGTATCCCCAAAAGAATAAC